TTTTTTTGCAATTTATTGAATGCCAACAAGATCATCAATTGATATGATGTTGAAAAAGAATGCAGTTAATCTTGGCATATAGATAAGTATTTCTTTGTAGATATGAACATCATCAATAAATTCTGGTCGATTTTCAACTTGAAGGTATAAATATAATTCTTTGAGATTCGACATACGTCGAAGCATTGGTACTATCACATTATCATACTCTTCTGTTGGCCAACCAGAACTTAACATAAACGATATTAGATTAGGTAGATTCTTCTAGAACAAAAAAAAAACTCGAAGAAAATATATTCAATAAAAAATTTTCAGAGAAAAATTTCTGTGCCTTATTATCAATGTTCAATGATGGAGTATCAATAGAATCAATTTTGACGCTAAAAGTTTTCATTTGATTGAAACGACCATCAAGTAGACGCAAACAATCGTCTATTGTAGGGACTTTAACTTTTAATTCCACTATAATCGATGACGAACACATTGTTACAGGTAAAGTACAGTTTTCTGTTGACAAATTGAAGCGAAAATATCTTGCTTGAATATTCAAATGGGTTAAACATTGACAGACAGAAAAAAGACGTGCATATGCATTCATATTTAAGTTGATTTGTGATATTTTATTATAATATTCGATAGTGAAGAGTTTAAGATGTGTAATTTGTCGGAAGATATGTATGATGGGTGAATCGTCTATAGAAATCAAATTAAAGAGTCGTTTAAAAAGAATAGATTGTTTATCTTTCATGGTTAACTAACTCTTATACCTGCTAAATACTTGATAAAAATTTCAGGTTTGATCGAGTAAAGAGTTAATTTGTGAAGTTTAGGATAGACACAAGCAATAAGAATGTGTTCAATTGATGACGATTCGAGAACAAGAGATTTTATATTGTGATGAATTTGAGGCAATATAGATGAACAAAATCGATCGAGTATGATATTGGACATGGAACATATTCCACCAAGTGATGATTTAGTTGTCAAATCGAGAAAATCAGTGAAAATAGTATCACGTGCTAATCGCTCAAGTCGCTTATTAACACCCAAAACTGTGCAGAGTACATCAATGTTGTTGAGTTTATTCAAAATTTCAATAAGTATTTCATCAGGCAAATCAAGTAGTTGAACAGTTGAATAATCCATGATTGACTATCTTCAATAATTCTTTGTCATGCATGCAAAAAGTATATATATAGTTATGTATGTGAAATGAGCTGCCGGCAGCTAGAAAAATGGTACTTTGTTTGACTGTTATGATTTTGACCTTGACTATAGTCCAGTTCGGTTATAACTGTATCATATGATTTGTTTTTTTTTGCGTTCTTAACAAAAATGAAGGAATAGTTTTAGAATCGACCATATGCAGTGTTCATTTTAATTAAAATCTCATTTACTTACTTCGTCATGTGTCACGAATCATCTTTTAAAAGAGTCAAAAATTCTAATGCAAACAACGAGGATACATAAAGAATACAAGAAAATCAGATAGAAGAAGAAGCGTGCTTTAGAGGGTGTGGGGATGGATGTGAGTTCTCTTCAGTTACACCCAAACTCACACCCTATTTACATTTGATATTCGTTCACTTATGTTTATTAATAATCAAATGAATTTACCGTCAAAAAAAGACATTGAAGAGACATTAAGAGATTTTCAATATACGAAAATAATATCTTATGTTGATTATTTTCTAGAACAAAAAAATGGGTCAATGTCATGTTTTTTCATATCCATCTGAAATGCTATATTATCAAAAGATAACAAATAATTTTTCAGGTGGATTATATCAATATGTTCGTTTTATATCATTATATGATGAATATCCTTTTGAACATGAATTTTTTATTAAAATTTTTCAATCATTTCTATTTATAGAAAAATTATCTTTAATTAATCATCAATCACAAAAATATAAACAATCTTATAAATCAATAAATCATAATTTATCAATTGTTAAATATAATTATCTTATTACACTTGATATTGAAAATGTTCATGATGATTATATAGAAGAATTTTTATTTAATATAAAAACATATTTTCATAATAATATTCTTGTTTATATCAATTATAAATCATTAGAAAGAGTAACACATAATTTTACAAGAGATGCTACACAAATTAATTGTAGTAAAATAACTGAAATTTATTTATTTGAAGAAAAAAATTATTCCAATTCTTTATGCGATTATTTTTCTATTGCAATAATACATTAATTGCTATTTAAATAAAACAAATTTATTATCTTTTTCAAAGATCAAATATTATTTTAAAAAAAAGCAAAATGCTTTTTTCTGAGAAAACATTCTCTAGAAACAAGTCAATATCATCGTGTGTGAAAAGTTCTTTTCTGTCAAATAGATTTTTTTATTTAATAAAAGTATTTAAATAACACAAAACATTTAAATATGAACAAAATCGATTTTCACTTTACACTAAAGGAAAATAAATTGATTTCTATTACACGAAATCAGTTTATTTGCTCTTGATTTAACTAACATATATATATCTATCAGTATGAATGAGAAGAAAACTCACGAAAAAAGATCATTTCAACGAAACACATTTATATTGATCTGTCCTGGATTGAAATCGATGGTGACGGAGTTCTACCCTTACTGAATATCATAGAAGAAAATTGTACAATGAATAATCTTGTTTCTCTCACCTGATCTTTTTCCCATTTTTTTTTCTAGACATTCAACAGAGTTGGGATGTATTGTTTTCTCTAGATTATTTCTCAATTAGCCGTTGTTCGGAACAGTTCGAAGTACACTGAAAAGTAGTGATTTTTTAGTTTCCAAAAGAATTGACAAATGAATAACGCCAGATTTGAACTATTTACTCAAAATGTGTGGCAGGTTCGCTTGAAGAAATATGTCGCGATGAGCGTCTCATGTCACAATTTCATGTTTTGTACATCGTACCACAAAGTACATACACGTGCGACATATTTTATGTTAGTCTGTGTTCCCGTATATCAGTAATAAGCTAATATATTTCCATGACTGTATACGAAGCAGCAGGATCATACATGTAGAAATATGAAGCAAAGCTGAGACCGCATATGATCGTACATGTTGAACCTTGGTGCTTAAAAACCTTGCAAAAGATAGTTACCTTACAAGGATCTTTTCTGATGAGGCGAGATAGTAGGGCAGTGACCGTGCGAAATTTGAACGAATGAGTAGTGGTGGAACGCTAGTGGAGTAACTTTTTAGCTGCCCCGCTGATCTCTGATATGAATGCTTGAATTAACAAGATTGTTCCTTATTTAATAGATATAAGTTTTGAATTAATCATCCATGTATTTGTTGGACATTAAGTTTTTTCTGTTTTTCATCCAACTAAGGTAAAAATATGCGTCATTCAAAATTTATCTTATCTCGAGTTGTCGTTCTTCTTCTTTTGTATCATATATTACATGTAGCCTTTTATTTTTTATTTTTTATAAAAAAAAGTATATGTTGAGTGATAATATCTCTCAAGAATTATCAAGATTAGAACGCTTTCCCGATGAACTTTTTTTTAGAATTATTTTCATTTATCAAACCAATTGATCTTTATCGTGGTTTTTTTAAATCTTAATTCACGTTTAACACATTCGACACGATTCAGTTTTCTTAGAAAACTTCTTCGAGATACTCATTTCTGTCAAGAGTTAACTTATAATAAATGCACTTAGTGACCTTTTCATTATCTTCTATCAATTGTTCATCGTTCTCTTGTTTGTATCATCACGTAATGAGTCATTTTTTTGTGATCAAATGAAAAATCTCTCAAGTTGCTTTTGGGTTCTTTTGTATCTTATATATAGTGGACGTAAGATAAGAGAAGGGTGTGGGAGAAACATGAACATATACACCCACACTCACCCACACCCATGGATATCAATGAAAGACATTGTCGAATAGTGATAAATTGATCGTTGATGAAAATGATTATCTTATCAACTATTGAGCTAATGATCAGAATCAATTATGTTTTCTATTCGTTTTTCGATGATCAATTATCTATTAATCATTATCATTGAGTGACAGTTCATGTTTGAAACCTATATATATATCAGAAATGATTTTCTTGTTTGAAATCATTCTATTCAATCGGTCTATTGTATCATCAATAGATTGAATAAGTACTCGAATAAACTGTTTTTTTTTCAGGAGGTGCAAGATACAATTATGTACATAATTATAATATTCATACATTTACTTATCATCACAACATTATTTACAACTAGCAAGAACCCGTGCATACTGCACGACAGGTTTTTTTTTAACATACGATCTCAAACCTTTAACCTTTCCCTCGGTAACAGACACACGGTTGTGCCGATATTGATGGCACGCTTCGATGATTCTCCTTCCTTCTCTTTCTGTTCTCTTTCCGTTGTTCTAATATATCTCTCTCCTGCCTCTCTTCTATCTCTTTCCTATATATATGTGTGTTATGTATGAAGTTGTTACACTCTGGATATGTGAAATAGCTGAATAAACATCATTGCCGAGAGTGGCGGCAAGTCACTCCAATCCAGTTTGTCGTTACAACGGTCACTCGACATTATGTACATAGAAGCTCTACGGAGTGATATCCTTATATCGCTAATTGCTCATGGAGCCTTATGGTCTTGTAGCCTTATATTTCTTGTAGCTCTAGTAGCCATACCCCCTTATAGCGTTCCTCCCTTATAGCCTTATCTCCTTATTGCTCTGGTCCTTTATAGCCTTACCCAGTTATAGCCTCGCCCCTTATAGCCTTATCCTCTTATTGTCACACTTCTTTATAGCCTGATATTCTTATTGCTTTACTCCTTTATAGCGTTACCCCCTTTTTACCCTTTTCCCCTTATAGCTTTACCCCTTTACAGCCTTATCTCCTATAGTCTTCTTGACCTTTCATCTTTGACCTTGGACCTTGGACGAAGAAACAGACACTGAGCATTATATATATAGATGTTATTGTTTGGATTGAATTATAATATTATTAATGAATTCATGTAATGACTTATATATTTCAATCTTAAATAGGGTATGTTGTTTATTTTTTTTCTCTTAAGAAGAGGATTAGTGAAAAGCACTCAGTTGAGTTTTTTTCTTATTGTGTCAAAAAAATTTACAAATAAGTTGATAAGTTCTATTGGCCACTAGAACTTTTCAAGCTATTGTTTCGATAAGTTAAATATAATCTATTTCGGATGGAATAATGTTTTTTTTTCTTTCATACTTATGTTTTTGTGTAGAGAGGGATAGATATTATCTTATATCATAGCCTGTTAAGTGGCTTCGTAACCTAACCCAGGAGATTTCTTGTGTCTGTTATGGCGAAAAACAGTGTAGTACTCAGGAAAGCCCTCTGTTTGTCGGTTCCTGTCGTCGTTATTGTACGATATACCTACGATCATGTCCTACCAGTCCGACGTGGTCCTCTCTGCGTATATCCATATCGCGCTTACAGGGAGTCTTCATGATCGCACGCGCGCGTAAGCGAGAATGAGCCGAGAAAAGCCGAAAAGCGAAGTGAATTGTACTGCAAATAAATTTATTAAGCAAAGCACAAAAAAAAACAAATTACATTTTCTTTCGAATTTTTTCAAATGTCTCTTTATATTCCAAAACATGAGGATGATTTGAAGGTAATTTTTCGTGAGCAATTTCTACGGCTTGTTGAACATTTTTCATTGCCACCCTATATTGTCCAGTAGATAAATATAATTGCGCCAAATTGTGATATACTACAGCTAAATCAGGATGAATTTTTGGTAGTTTATTTTTCCGTATTTCTAATCCTTTTTCATAATATATCAATGCTGTTGAATAATCTTTCATCTCACGATATGTTTTACCTAAATTTATATATGTCGTTGCACACTGAAGAGGATTACATTGAACATTTTCTTGAATATTTAATGCTTTTATATGAAATGAAATTGCCTTCTCATAATCACCCATTAAACGATGAACATCACCAATACTACTGTATGTGATAGCTTGATTGGGATGTCTTTCAGGTAATGTTTTTTGCTCTATTGTGAGACACTTTTCAAAAAAATTCAGTGACTTTGAATAATCTTTCATACTGCGATAAACTCTTCCAAACCAGCTGTATGTTGAAGCGAAAGCTGGATTACCTTCTTCAAAAACTTTTTGCTGAATTTGATAAGCAGTTTTAAGGGCTTTAAGAGCTGTTGTGTAATCACCCATCTTTTCGTAACATGCTGCAAAACTCAAATGACTAACAGCCAAATATGGATGATTCGCAGGCAGAGCTTTTTCTCTTATTTTAAGTGATTTTTCATAAAATTCAAGTGCTTTCGAGTAGTCATCCATGTTGTTATACACTTGACCGATGTTGTTGTATGAAGTAGCCAAATCAGGATGATTCGAAGGTAGAGCTTTTTTTGTGATTTCTATATCTTTCTCGTAAAATTCAAGAGCTTTCGAGTAATCACCCATATCGTAATACACTTCACCAATGTTGCTGTAGGCAGTAGCCAAATCAGGATGATTCGGAGGAAGAGTTTTTTCCGCGATTTTATGTGATTTTTCGTAAAATTCAAGTGCTTTCGAGTACTCACCCATGCTTTTATACACTTGACCAATGTTGCTGTACGAAATAGCCAATGAGGGATGATTCGAAGGCAGAGCTTTTTCTTTTATTTTTAGTGATTTCTCGTAAAATTCAAGTGCTTTCGAGTAGTCACCCATGTTCTTATACACTTGACCGATGTTGCTGTATGAAATAGCCAAATCCGGATGATTCGGAGGCAGAGCTTTTTTCGAGATTTCTAGATCTTTTTCGTAAAATTCAAGTGCTTTCGAGTAGTTACCCATGTCGTTATACACTTGACCGATGTTGTTGTAGGAAGCAGCCAAATCGGGATGATTCGGAGGCAGAGTTTTCTCGTCGATTTTAAGTGCTTTTTCGTAAAATTCGAGTGCTTTCGCGTAGTGACCCATGTTGTTAGAAACGAGACCTATATTGTTGTACAAAGTAGCCAAATGAGGATGATTCGGAGGCAGAGCTTTTTCTCTTATTTTAAGTGATTTTTCGTAAAATTCAAGTGCCTTCGAGTAGTCACCCATGTTGTTATACAGTTGCCCGATGTTGTTGTAGCCAGCACTCAGATCGAGATCGTCTTTCAAAGGATCTTCCTCTTTGATTTTGACTACTGTTTTATAAAATGAAACTGCTTCGTCGTATTGTCCTTGATGACTTTTCACGTGTCCAAGCTGATTATGAATATATGCTCTTTCACTATTGTCCGATGTCTGTTCTAGTAGTGCTGTATACAATTCTTCAGCCTTGTCGAATTGACCTATTTTGAGCAGTAGTTGACCCATGCGATACCATCGAGTACCGCTGACATCTTGCCGTATGTAGTCAGTTAATTCACGAAGTTGTGGGTCATCATCCGACGTAAGTTTAAGGTCCACTTTGTAAAGTGCACGATTGTTGTCAATTTTTCCAACTTCACCAATGCGAAACACGGTGTGCATGGAAAAGAGGATTTCCTCTTCATCCTTGAAGTAACTTTCCTCTCGAATGGAGGCGAATAGAATTGATGAGATTGTAGGATCAATGGTTATTTGAAATAGAATTCCGATCATATCGGTCATTTTTAAGGCTTCCTTGGCGAAAACGAGGGAGACATCTGGATTTGTGCTGATAGATAAAAAGTTGTTAAACGAAATAAGCCCGCCGTTGTTTTCTGCGAGCTTTTCAAAATCTGCTTTTGATAGACCTTGCCCTCGAAAGACAGTGAAGATCTGTCCATGATAGTGACTGACCTGTTGTTTGTGTAAATGTTCAATTTGTCGATGTACATCACATAGAAAGAAGCCCATTCGGATCATAACATCACCATTGAGTGTTCTTAACGCACCATTGAGCATTTTGTAGATGAAACATTGGCGTGTATACCACCAAATGGCGTTGGATGCTTGATAATCACGTTGAAATTCATTGATAATATTGATTTCCTTCTTATTGCCTTGGTATTCTTGTTGGCAGTACGTGACCAAATCTTGGACGGCTTGTTTTTCATGTTCTATTTCAAGGAGTATTTCCTTGAAAATTTGGGAATACATAAAAGAAGGTTCTAGCTGATCTAGATTCTTGCTAGAACCTTCTGCATTCACGCCAACACTGCTCACCGACATATGATCTTGATTGCATTGTTTGATAGCTGTTGACAATTTCTCACAAATGTGTTTGATGGATGTGTGAACACCTTTGATTTTTGTCCAATTTTGGGCCCATACTTGATGCCGTTGTTTATTGCCACAAAATATAAAGATGGCATTTAATTTTGCCATATCATGAATGTTTGGTACCAGGTGTTGTCCAACTGCACCTGAGGAGATAATAAATGAGATCTTCTCATGATTTTCCGTGAGCTGTTGAATACATTGTTCAGCTGTCGTGCACATATTGACTTGGTTGACGACAGCACGCAATTGTTCCATTGTATTTTGGCAATCTTCATTTGCCATATCAATATTTTCATCGACCCAGATTACCAAATAATTTTCAGCCATACGTTGTCTTTGATCTCGACTTATATTTGATGCCATTTTTGCTGCTTGGCTAGCAAACGTACGTTGAGAAGAATAGATTGTTGTTTGGATAGATATTACTTTTGATATTTATACGTTCGATGTCGACTGTTTTTTTTGTTGACACTCAAGGTCAAACTTCACCTGGGTGTAATCAAAAGTATCGTTGTTAGTAACCAAAGAGAGAGAAAAAACCCAGCAATATCATTTATTTTATCGTTATTCTTTCCAACTTTCGTTTGCTTATCATCTATGTAGTTAATAGTCACTTGAAAGTCAGTGAGTTGAATATCTTATCTCATTCAGTTTTTATTTGTCTTTTAGCATCTCGAAATGACTATTTTCTTTTTCTATCGAGAACGAAACAAATAAAGACATTGCCAGTTTTATTTTTTTTTATTATGCATAAGACTTGCTTTATGTTAATGTGAGCATAAGAAAATGAAGAATAAATTCAATATTGTTACAAACAACAATAGAACAACAGTTTCTGCTTGCCCCCAATATACTGTGCATCATTCACGAGTTGTTCAAGTAAAATAATAGTAGCTCGAATATAATTGAGTATCGAAGTACATATTATGAATTCCATGAAAGGACAACAACATATATATATATAGATATTTTGAGATTTTTACGTCATATGTATTGAGAGATAAGTTTTTTCTGAGTATAATAAATATTTTGTTAATATAAAAGAAATTTTTGATCTGTCTAATCACGATTTTTAAATATTTAACTGTTGATGGAAAGGACAGTATAAAGAACAAAAAATCTTATGGCAAAAGAAAAAAATAAAAATATGTATGGGTTATATCATACTTACTTGGAAATGAATTACTATGTGATTACAATTATTCAGTTAATTTTTACAGTGTATTACAATGTTATTATGTATTGTTACATAATGATAAATGTTTTCATATTGTTTAAATTATTTTAGGTTTTTATTAATTACATATGATTCATATTTATCATGATATTAGTATACAGTTATGATGTTATTATTTTCATTATTTCATATAACTTTATATGTTTGTTTTTTTTGTTTCGTATTAATGTTGTTTTCGTCATCTCTTTTGCGCTTTTTGTAGTGTTCTTTTCAACGATACTTACATGGTTTAAAAGTGGTCCTTAGAAAGACAGAAGATTACCTCTATATAAATAAAATATTCATTATACTCAGAAAAAATTTATTTATATATCTATACTTTTTCTCAATATATATATAGGAATGAAACAGTGCAAAATGTACTTTTTCATATAAATATAACAAACAAGCAAGTTTTACCTCGATTTTCATGCTAATTTAATATAGAAACTCGTGTAAGCTTTTACCGATTTGGTATTACAATATTTTAAAAATTGTCTACTTGTAGTTATGAACTTTACTTGTGTCCTATACTGCTGCACAGTTCCAATGCTAATTCAAATCAATTTTTAAAATAAAATTACTCTTTGATATTTTTGTTATTTCGATAGAAAAGTTGTTTGTTGAATGAAAATTATAAAGGAAAAAGAATTGATACTTTGTTTTTGGATATTGATCTCATATGTGATAATGAAAATTGCACTTTATTTCGAAGTAGTATTAGACAAGTACTACTATATTCACGTTTTTTCAGTGTATGAAATGTAATCGTGACCGTATCTGAAAAAAGACTGACAGAATGAATTTATCATCACTCATAAGCTTGTTAATGTGTTTTTTTGATTTATATTATACTCATTTGGAATATATTTATAACAAAAAAGATATTTTCTTTCCTACAATATTTCGATTATTCTTCTTTCATTGATATCCAAGATTCATAAAAAAATAATATTCAAATTGTGCGTGTTCACATGTGAGATTCATACAATTTTAATGTGCATCACAATGACAATGAGAAAATTTCTGCACTGTGCATTAAAAGAACGTCCGGTAGTTTTGATAGAATTGATAAATAATGAAAAGTATCGCTGGCATCTTTTTCAACTAAAACTAGCAAAGATATGAAAGATATGAATGCTGGTTTTCAAAACTTAAAAGTAAGAAAGAAAAAACATCATCATTGTATTGCATTCTTGATGTCTGTGCAAAAACATCGATCATAACGTCGATTACATGATATTGTTGGGTTTCTTCGGAAAGTGCAATTACGACGAATAAGAAAGATCAACAAAAATAAATACATTAAATCATCTCATGTCGCTAGAATCTATGTACCAAGTATGATTAGCATCATATTAAAAAGATCATTAAAATCGAACGACTGTTCAAGAATTTCTTATTTTCGCCGTAAGAAAGTATCTGAGTGATATAAATGAGAATGACTGTTTCAAAAACCTTCATTCCAAAAAAAAATACGATATGTCTTTTATCAGTGTGAATGCATATTGTTTGTAATTATATTATAGGAAAAAAAACTGAAAACGAAAAAACTGTTGATTCATTTTTGGACAAAGAAAGTCTTTCGAATACATGTTGATGTGTACCAATAAAATTTACTTTTTCTGATTTGGATGTGGATATTCTCTTCATCCACATCCTGTTGCCCAGATATTAATGGTATGCGACATGAACCATGTCCTTGTGTAAAGAAAGGCAAGAAATATGATTGTTTCTCATATGTTCATATCCTATTCAGCAGAAAACTAAAACAGCTTAATTTTTCATATAGATGGGCTTAATATAGGAGAAAATAAATGATGTATTTTCAATGAAAACACTCTATAACCTAATCTTTCTGAGGACATCAAACATAACTATATCTCGTTTAGATCAGTCACGTGGTATACAATACAGAATGCATTAGAAGATTTTATTTTATTAGTCAAAGTTTTCTGACATTGACAATAACAACATATGTAACATAAAATTGAATTTTATGAGAAAGTACAAACGATTTTGCTGACAACGAGCTCCTCCTTTTTGTGCACTTTCTCGTTTTTCAAGCTTTGAGGTTAATTAAAATGAAGACAGTATAAAAAGTTAGACATTAGCCTATTCGATTAGCTGATTTTGTTCATTTCCAATTTTAAGGACAGCTAACCATAAATAATGAATCATACAGATAATTAAATGATAAATCGATTGTTTCGATGATCGGCATTCCTAGCTTCGCATCCTCATCTATAACCATCAAAAAGTCATTAAGATTTGAGATATTCTCAATAGTTGAAAGTTCAAATTGAACAGTGTTGGAAAGGAGAATTCGATCAATGTATGCATCAAGATAGTTCACTCAGAGAACTGTGTTTATTCAATCAATAAAATAGCTTATCATCTACAACATCAAATAACTATGAGACTAAATTAATAATTGAAATTTGGTAAATATAAAATCATATTTTATTTTGAGTATATAAAGCGATATTTCTAAGATGCTCTCTGAGAAAAATTCTATCTGGTCATTTTATGTCTCTAATGTTCTGTGGTCTTATCAAAAGTTTCTAAAATGAATCTTAGAACTCGGTATCAATTTTTATAGTATATAATTATACTACTTAAGATAATTAGATGATTAGTCATCGAGAGAACAAAACACGAAAAAGAAGAACTTCTCTTATCTCTTTGTTCTTTCACAATATTGAGTAATTACATGGTTCCCAGGGAATAAAAACATCAAAAAAAATGCATTAAAATGATGAAACGGACAAAAACATGCATGTATTTCAAATTCATCAAAGAAAATGAACATTTTAATCAATTTAATGCCATGTTTTTGATTAAATATTTTTAAAATTAAAATCATCGCATTAAATTGATTAAAATGTTCATTTCCTTTGATGAATTTGAAATACATGCATGTTTTTGTCCGTTTCATCATCCAAAATGCCATTTTTTTCGTGTTTTTGATATAAAATTCATGAAAGTCATGAAATGTTTTTGATGTTTTTATTCCCTGGGTTATATATATACGTATATAAAATGGAAACATAAATGGAGTTCTATTTTGTAGATTTTCTCAAATTTCTTGGTGAAAAACAAAATCAATCTTTAATTTCTAAAAGAAAACGTCAGAAGACAATACAGATCAATGAAAAGAATCGAATGTTAGTCGTATGAACTATTATTGTTCGAGTTAGTCTTTCATATTCTCTTTAGCTTGAATACAAGTACAATTACTAAATTTGAACATTTACCAAACGAATTAATTCCCTAGACTGAAAGGCTAGGGTCTAGAAACCGAAATTCACCTGTGTCTGTCTGTCTGTCCGTCTGTCTGTCGGTAACGCGGTCAAAATGGCCATTATTTTGGCACAAACGCCATTTTTATGGCACAAACAACCATTTTTTTGGCACAAGTGACCATCTTTTTGGCATAAACGACCATTTTTTTGGCACAAACGGCCATTTTTTTACTAAAATTAACTAGGTAACTATGGTACAAATGAGCATGTAACTATGGCACAAACGGTCATTTTTTTGGTACAAACGGCCACGTAACTATGGCACAGGTGACCATATAGCAACCATGGTACAAACAACTATTCCGGTAACTATGGTACAAATGACCATCTAAAGACTGATGTAAATGAACCCATGATAATCATGGGCAAAATGTTAATGGAATAACTGTAATTCGGGTAGTGGTGTAAAACGGCTTACAAAAGCATTTAATTAGTGAGAGTCAGACCAAATGAGCAGTATGGATTTAAAGAAATCGTTTAAATTATTCATTATTGTAGGATTGATTGTGCAATGTTGTATCAATGAATATCTAATTTATCAATAGTTTAGAATTAATGCGCGAATTTAAGCATAAAATATTGATTAATAAAACTCAAATTTTATGAATAATATAATTCATATTTTTGTACGTACAAATAGCGCCAATATAATTATAAAAAAATCGTATTGTTGTCTAATCTCATTGGGCGCTATTTATATTTATAAAAGCAAAAAAAAAAATAAAACAAAAACGATAAAAAAATTAAATTTGTAAATGCATCATCTTTACTTAGAGTGAGAATTCTCCACATTAAGTTTTCTGGTCGCCTAAGATATACTGGTAATATTATCAATTTTGCGTATTACTTTTTTAATTTAGCTTTTTATGTTATTACATCCGTACATGTATTCTATCAGTCTAGGGCTAAGTGAATCGCTTGACGATGAACGTTACTTGTATTAATTTGTTTTGATTATTTTGATTTCTATTGGTTATATGAATTATTTTTTGATTTAAATCAACGCTTAAATGAACTTATTCTATATCAAGCAAAAATCTATATTAATTTAAATTCAATTCGACATGGAAAGTTTTTAGCATTTTGTTTAAAATTAAATCAACTAATAATAAAAAGTAAAAATTATCCACTATCAATTCACACTTAGAGTGAAGACAGATTTAATTTAATTTTCAACGATGATTTGACTAAAGATAAATTTTCTAAACTTAAATTAATATCAATATCGAATATAAAAGTTACAACTTTAAACTATATTTTATTTGATAAAACAATAAAATTGTATGAAACATTAGAACGACTTAGTTTATAGAATGAGATTAGTGGAGAAGACTATGAAATAGAAGGTAAGTAGCAACCTAACAGATATCTCATAAAGACTGAAGGTTTTCAAATTTTTTCAATATCTTGTCTAGTTTTCATAGATTGGAATTGAAAGTTTCTTTTTTCAAAATATTCTACGCTTAATTCTCAGAATAATAGTAAAAATTTATTGTAATAATACTAAGAAGATGCAATATCAACAACTTTTAAGCACAAAATATTGTTCTTTTGTAATTATGTGTTCTTAGATCGCACTATATAGATAAATTTTGATAAATCGTAATATCCATTTTATAGAGTTTCAAAAGTTCTGTTTTATTGGTATGTTCAAGAATTTTAATAATGCAACCTTGTCTCAGAAGATAAGAGCTAAATAATAATTATCTATTTTCGCATAAAAAAATTGTATTTTTTTTTTAAATTTGAAAAAAAAAAAGAACTTTCTTATAAAGATTCTTGAACATATTAATAACATAGCATTTTTGAAGCTTCCCAAGATGAATGACTACAATTTGTCAAAGCTTGTCTATATAGTTCGTTATGAAAACACGTAAATGTAAGAGAACTATACTTTGTGTTTGAAAGTTGTTGATGTGCACATGTTCTTAGTATTACTACAATAGCTCTTTTACTTTTATTCCTATGATATCTATTGATACATAGTTTTGTAGAGAATTACACAACGATTCTTTTAAGAAAATGTTCAAATCGAATCTATGAAAACTAGAGAAGATATAGAGATCATTTTTTATGTCCCATCTGTTACATTATCATTGGTTTTTTTAAATGTATTTATTAGAACTAATATGTTTCCTGTTTCTACTTAGTTTTAAAATACAGAACTTTAATATTTTAATAATATGTGTCTTTGTAGGTTTCTGTAGTAAATTAATATCATCAAAAATGAAATTATTAAGATATTTGCATTTAAATTTTGAACCGTATTCATGTGGATGCGAACATAGTTTGCAAAGTCGTGATGATTATGTTAATTTAAAATTTGAAGAATTTTTACGAAATGAAAAATCATTGAGTAATTTGGAAACTATTATTATTGGTTGTAAGTTATTGAAATCTTATCTTTTTCTATACAAGCATTTAATTTCTTTCAATAGATATTCCTGAAGATGATAATACTGAGACTACTACAAAATTATCATTTAATACATTGATTAAAAAATATATTACCTTGTCTACCAAAATTAAAGAATTTGATAATAAACTCAATTGATTTTAATGATAACTATCGACTACAATATCAAGTATACAAAAAAAACATCATTAGATTTTCTAATAGAAGTTTTACACTAAATTCTAATAGAAAGAGTTAGAATTATATAAAAACACATTCTATCTAATAAGGAAAATGTTCATTGAAAATAATTTTAACTAAAACTTTCAATATTATATGTCATAAATAATATTTTAAACTAGTTTATTTATTCATTTCTCTTTGCTAAGATTTTATTTTCCTATGACAGATACCATCAACTACAACATCTAATTTCTTTATACCACCGAATTTAAAAATGATTAAGATTTGGATCAATATGAATAGATATAATCAAGCTGAGGAGAAAAAAAATCAAAAATTGTTACGAAATTATTTTATGAATAACAACTCGTCTCACATGACTTTAATATTAATGGTGAAAATGTTTTGCATCTTTTTGTTTTGTTGTTTGTGTAAAAAAAACTTGCTAAACATTTCGTATGCATTAAAAAAAAACAGGGAGTGTTCTTTGACTTTTCTATGTATCATCTATTTCGATTTTAATGCTGAATAGTTATCTTGATGATACAAACAATAAATAGAGTAGATTTTTCTTTTCTGACAGAGAACTGTCCTATATTAGTTGATAAAAAAATTAATCTGTTTTCAGAAGGGTGTGGACAAAGATGAAGGAATATGTCTACATTCAGACTTTCAGCAATATCATTCTCCAGAAATAAAAGAATGCGTAGGAAATTTATAATTATCAATAGTCATAATACTTTTTATAAATATATTGTTTTTGTGTATTAGCTAATCCAGACTTAATAGTCATATTAATAGTTGCAAATAATTATTTCTTTTCATTTCGTACTATAGAGTTCATAATTTTTATTTTAAAGAAATCACTGTAATTCTCGATCACAGACAGTATAGTAAATTTTGTCAAGATTCTTGACGATTGAAACATTGTATGTATTTATCATTTTTACGATCGGAAAAATATCTAACACATATACACTCAACGAAATTACTTCTTTTATTATGTCTACCATACTTTCAAAATATTCTAAAAAACAAAACTCAGATTTTTAAAGATCTACACAACGACTACGTATAAAAGAGACCGTATTAAAATAAAAGTTTCAATCAAAGAATTGAAAATCTCAAAAAATAAGTTGATTCATCAATTATTAAGAAAAGGACATGAATTATTCTTGCGTACAAATTTATGATACCGCTTGGATTAACCAAAGAATGCAGAATTAGTTGAAACTTTTCGAACAACAAAAAGATTTCACATTAATGACATTTATACAACAGTCAAAACGATAGATTTCGAGTATTCAATTGCGTTGAAGCAAACAAGAAAGATTGACTAACAAATAATTTTGAATTTCTATCAAACATACTGCTTTGATTGAGTTCTTATTCCAAAGACAGACACATCATTGGTGATTATCGATCAAGATTTTGTAAGCCAATAAGCGCACATTATATTGATACATTTGTATGAAAATATCGTCATATTCATTTGGTATTAATCTATTGAAGTTCTGTCTATATAATTCATTGTTGTAAGATATGAACTTAGACAGTATATTTTTAAAAATTAATATTGATTGATCAGTTGAGAAAAGACATCAAGAAAATGGGCGAAGATATTATTTAAACAGTGTTGATGATTTCATACAATGATGATAGCATCGTATACGAACTAATATAGATCTTTATTTTCTAGAAAATTTAACGACGATGTCTTTGTCGACAAACATAAATCCTGGAATAATAAGGAAATTATCAAGATTACTATTGAAGTTGGATCATTCAACATTGTTGTTAAAGTTTTTCAAAGACTCTCAAATTAATATCATATATATCTCGTGCACATGTATTTAAAAGAATTATATTAATTCGTTGAGGTATCATTTGTCATAATTCCTCGTTCCCAGAATCAATCATCAATAATATTCACATTTGTGGATAATTAAAAAATTTAAGTCAATTTTGATGACTAAGTAACAATCATCTAGACATATGAGAGTTCTCGATTAAGGAAGAGAACTGATTCAATCATACAATTCTTTAGAAAAAATCTGAAATTTGGCATCAGATATTTCTAGTACGAGGAAAGTCTCCCAACTGATTAATCGCTTTGGAATCGAGACTAGAGATGAAACCGACCCGTCTAACCTTTTCAGACTTATATCAGTACTAGTTGTCAAAAATTTATGCTGGCTCCATCTCTATATGAGGCATATGATACAACTTGGCAAATCAAGTTTGCCACTCGATAAAAACCGTTTTCTTCATATCTGAACTACTTTCCGATCAGATCTGAAAAATTTTAGACCGGTTCCATCTCTGGCCGAGACTATGAATATCTAGAAAATAGTTCGAACTCTTAGCTTATTTTTGTCATGATATAACAGGTCTTAACGAGAATAATTTATTGTGAAAATTTCAGATCTTTTGATTAGCTGATTTCCTGAGTTTGGAACATCAAAACTCTCGAGGTATATAAGCAGTGTACAAGACGAGCCTTTATCATAACTGTATATTAAGATAGGAATGAAAAAAGATCTAAAACTTTCACAACAAACTATTCTCGCTAACATCTGCTGTATCCTTTACTCCAAAGCTATTAATCGATTAGTAGATTGTCCTTGTAAGAGAAAAATCTTATGCCCGATAACCCAGCTCATAGAAGCAGAACTTTTGATTATTCACAAGTGTAAATATTATTATAGATTTATTCTGAGAACTGAAATTTGTGATCAATGATAGACATTCATGGAATTAGACAAAATTTTTCTCAGCACTTGGATTTGAAAAAAACCAAAGAACTACTTTTCATGAATGCTGCATTCAATTTATGTCACAGCTTTTGTTTTGATATGAAACCTTAATATTTGTTTAAACATAACATCATTTTATTTTATTTGTTTTTTTTTTTTGACTCTTGCTCTTCATTTTAGTTTATCTTTTCTTTTTACTTTCATCACATTTTACATCTTTTCGATTGTAAAAGAAAAAAAACACGAAATAGACATTAAATGTGTTTGCAGTTATAATAAATAAAAAAGAAAGAAGAAAAACCAACATTAACCAGAGAAGAGTGTTGAATTATTCGAGAGAGAGAGTGTTCAATCATAATCACCTAAGATATTTTTAAAAATAATTATTATTTTGAATTTTAATATTTAATTATTTCTACTTACTGTAATCGATTGGTTCAGCATCTTCATCAATATTTAAATTTTGAAGATCAACTTTATATCGAAGAATACCACCGACACCACCAAATCCACGAACAAATTGAGAACCTTCTTGACTTTTATCGGTTACAATTTCAAGTGTGGCACCTATATATTAATACATATATTTCTTTTTTTTTAATTCAAAGAAAATCAAAATTTTGTGTTCTTGCATAAGATATGCTTAGAATTTTTCTCTAACTAAACCTTCATAGAACCCAAAAACGTTTGCTAAAGATGCCAAAACCTTATTGTTTTGAAGACAAGTCGATTTTCTGAAGAATATTAAATAGATGCTGTAAATACAAAGCACTTAAAGGTGATCTTTACTCTGCAAAATAACGCAAAAAATAGAGAATTTTTGTTAACCTACTAAAAATAAAAAGAGCAGAGTTATGATAGAGGATCATCTTGTTCTGCAAAGGCGAAAATTGAATAAATAAACTATATAAAAGTCTTTACTGCACTCCAATAGTTTAAAAACAATTTTATGACATACCTCGAATAAATTCTATTTGAGGATTTTTTTCTCCGAAAAAAAAATTCTTCCATCTTTTCAAAATATTCTCATAGCTCAATAGTCAAAACAAATAGAATATATGGAATTCTGATCACAAGAATTAATTAGGACTTAATTCACCTTCATGTGTCGGAGATACAAGGTCAACATCGATGTTTCTTTAAACAATGATATCTCAACATAGAGAACGTATCTTATGATGTTATATTTCATATTCAACAGCTTAGTATTATCCCTAAAATTGATAGGCACCGTCGACAAGTGACGCCAATCTCTGACTAATTATAACTATTCGTCTTAAAAATTTTACAATGGCATCTATCGTTGGAAACGAGACTCATGCTGAGACAATTACGATCAAAGTTTATCGAGTTTTATTTCTACTCAAGATATTAAAAAGAAAAGAAAAAATAATCAAATATTTTGTCTCAAAACTTTCAATTGAATCCTTATATAAAAATAACTTTTAAAACAAAAAAAATGTAGTGTTTCTTTTTTTTTTTTTACCGAAATTTTTATAATTATTCGCAAACCATTCAAGTAACGGCATTTCTTCAACATGTTCTAATTCGACTCCAGTATCTTTATCTTGAAAATGTGATTTTTCTTTTTCTTGATCCGAACGTAAATGTAAAATTTTTGTTTCTTGTGTTTGTGGATTACGTAAAACATAACGCATAACATCAAAATTTTCCCAAACAATTAATGTTTCAACAGCACCCATTTCAAGTGCTTTCAATGTTTCATCAATACCAAAACAATATTGACCAGAATCTTTTGATACTTCATCAAAATATCGAGCTACAAGAAAAAAAAATTCAAACAAAAAAATTTTTTTGTTTTTTTCTATTTACAAATTAATTTTTTTTCTTGAATAAATTTCACATCACCAAGTGTTTCAGCAGCTAATTCAATAGCTTGATTAAAACCATTCTCACCACCATATGATACATCAACTCGTTTAAGTACTTTAACTTGTAAACGCTAAAATACATACATAATAAGATATTAAAAAAAAAAAAACAAACATTTAAGAAAATAAATATTCATCTTACTGGATCAAACATATCAGATTGATGAAGTTCAGTTTTAAAATCAGCTAAACCAGCAAGAATTATTCCAGTTACATTTACTTTATCATCTGTTATAAAACATTGTACAGCTGTTTCAGCAACTTTTCGAACATAATTATGACGTTTTTCCATACGAAGTCGAGCAAATCGAAGAGCACTTTGACCACC